TAGTTTACTCCAGCCTAATAGTCCCACATGTATATACGATAATGCTTTACTGTGGAGCTAATTAGTCAACTTTACAGTAAAGCACATGTGTAGATGCCCCCAGTAGGAGGAAGAAGTTGGCATTTAGGTCTTTGGAAGCACTAAGCGGCCATGGGCCACACACCTCTCCACTTAAAGTAACAAGGGAACTGTGGTAGTCAATGGATACTCAGGTTTTCAGACATCTTAAAAGCTGAGAAATAGGCAGACATGGTAAGGGCCTGTGAGAATCCAAAAGTTATTTATGGACTTTCCAGGAGACTGAAAAGTGATGGGCAAGAAATTAGATAGCAGAGACTAGAACATTGATAAAGTTTTGATAAAGTGCAGGAAAGTAGTAACAGAAGAAATCCTGCTAGAAGATGGACAGATAGACAGACACACACACCATTAAAGATACCTCCAATTTCTACAGGAAACATACAGAGCAATGAAAAAGTCAGGTTTGTACTCCGTTGATACAAACTTTTTGTTTTGTAATTTTCTCAGTAGTTTCCTTGGCAAACAATGAGCTTCACTGTAAGAGATACTGCAGTTGGCTTTTTGACAGCAGAACTCTATAAATCTTGAGGAAAGGTACTCACTTTAATTTGGCTGCATGAAATAGAATTTGCTCACTGAAATGCTCTTTATTTTCTTTCTCCAAGTGTCCCGAATTGACATTAAATACAGAGCCTAAGAATTTGTGTGCAACTGCAGGTATTTCCCCATATAAGAAAAATTACTAAAGGAAATTTTATTAAACATGTGTGCGTTTAATATATATTCTTAGGAGAAAAAAACTTGTTTCTAATTATACCTTTTTAGTAATAAAGTTCTTAAAATGTTTATTGCAACACATGACCACACATAGAAAGGAGGGTTAAGCTTTGAATTTTAGTAAGGTGAGACTGCTCCTCTTTAGTGCTTTAACAGCAACAAATCCCTGATGACAGTGGCAAACTATAATCAAGGCAAAAACATTAAAATAATGTCTGTAAAAGCTAAACAACAAATGGAGTAGTAGTAAATTTTATATCTAATTCAACTGGCAGCACAGATGTGAAATTGTAAACAAGAAAACATATCAGATGAAAAACCAGAAATTCTACAGAGTAGTTATTCATGTAGCTAACTTGGCTATTTTGCAGATACAAGAAGTGATCTGTAGTATTTATTTGCAGTGTTAGTGTCATGAATCACTGCAGCTTGATATGCTTTCAAGAATATTGGGATCTTTTGTTCAGAAAGATATGACTATTCTGTTAGCACTTTCCTTTCCTCTTGTTCCTTTTTTCATGTTAAGAATATAAAATTAAAAACCCCATATGAAATGTTGTGCCATGAAGCTAAGTTGTTGGGTAACCATCTGACAACATCAGAAACAAATAAAAGTCTGGGGTTTTCTTTACAAAAAAGAACCCCCCCACAGTAAGCAGAATCAGCCATCTAAAAAAAGGAGCAAAGTTGAGCATGATGCAGATTTTTGCTAGCGTGTGAAACTCAGTGCATATTACTGTAAGTGAGATCTCTCTGTTACTAAAAGGGGTGGCCAGTCCACATAGAGTCAATGAACAATAAATAAATAAATAAAGAGAGAGATCTCTAATTGGCTGGCACACACATTGGTATGTTCTGTAAGGGCCTGAATCCAATCCTATTCCAAAGCCCACTGAAGTTAATAGGCATCTTGCCACTAAGGTGCTGTCTCATTTGGAGTGCAGTGGGTTAGTAATGATGTTGAGGACTCTGGTCACTGAATCATTATCTGTGATTATATGGAGGAGCTTTGGTTTGTTTTTGAGATAGGCTGGGCATGTAGCTAGTGGCTCTGTCCCTCTGCAAGGCCATTGATAGCATCTGATTAAGTAGGTTGTCATATATGAAACCGTATGCCTTTATGAATGAGCTGGTCTCTAGGTGCCACCCTGCTCTGCCTGTAACAGTGATGTGACTCTGTGGGGAGTGGTCCCCTGTAGACTAGCTCTGTTGGTGCTCTGTGGCATAAGAGAAATTATTCTCTTCCCCCATGCCATACACTTGTGCAAAAGCAGTTTGCTGTAGCTCTGCAAAGTTTGGAAAAGATTTAATCCATAAGGGTTATATTTATTGAGCTGCTACAGAGTAGGTTCTACTCTGATACAGCTTCATTCTTTTCAGTTAACCCCTGTCACTGCTAATGAAGGTGATGCACACATCTTCAGACTCAGAGTTCAGGCTCTGCAAAATCAAGAACGCTGCCCTCCAGATATCTCTCTTGAGCCTATATGTTAGTCCTTGTTGATTTGAGTAATCCCAGGATTGGGTGCTTTGCAATGCTATCAATTTAGAACCCAGAAATGTCAGTTTTTATTAGACTATTGCTCTGGGTTCCTAATTGCACATTCAGATTACTACACAGATGTGTACATAGATATTTTTGTGCATGCAGCCACCCCAGTTACACATACATTGTTGTAATTGCTCAAATATTGGTGATGCATAATTGGATCCTGTTTTTAATGTGCAGAACTTTACCCTGCTGCCTTAAGAATGTGGCCCTCAGAGAATTGTGGGAGGAGGTAGGTCAAACTCTGTGCACCTCCCCAGTGACTACAGTTAAAAAAAAGGCTGAGCTCTATCTAGCTTTTGTGCATGTAGCATTCCCTTCAAAAATATCTTGCTTATAAGACAAAATAATTTGCATTCATCTCCATAACAGCACATATTACCACTCATGATTTAGTAGCAGTGACTAGTATGAGAACCTTTTCATAATCAGTCTTTGTTCCTGTACAGTGTGGTGAATTGCTGTAGCTAGGGGTGGTGCACTCGGGTATTTGAGAGTCTCCAGGTAAAGACTCTATGAACAAACAGAAAGAGAACAAAGTAGCCTTACTTCGCAGAGAGAGAAACTGGCCATTGATTTCCCTTCTTGCCAGTCCATGCTGATTTGTTCTGTTCACATCCATTCTTCAACAACATGACTGCAAAAAAGAGTCAGTCTAGTGCAGTAATACCAGGATTATAAATCAACCACAGCTATTGCCTTCAGAAGCCAAAGTCAGTATACAATCTCTGATGAGCCCTAGGCTACACTGCTGTTTGTGTTTGCCTGCTTGATTATTTTGTTGTGATGGGGAGATCGAGGACTGAACAGATTTTTTTTTAATAGACCCTTTGTGCAGTGGGTGAGTTAGGTGTTGTATACTGCTCTGCAGAGTTAGCAACTGGAGCATAAGGTGTTTTCAGAGCATGGTTTATTTACTGTAGACAGCCAGGTTCATTGATGCAGGGCGCCTGCTCCCCTACTCCCTACCTGGGAGATCCCAGCAGCCACCTTTGGCTGAGCTGGAGATGGAGAGAATCTCTTACAGGCAATGGCTAAGAGCATGTAATTGCCAGAGGACAGACAAAGAGCAAAAAGGATGCTAAAGTCATCATCACTTTTCAGTTGCTTGATTCAGAAGCAAGGCTTAGATTTGTCATCCCCAAGAATGCAAATATCAAACTTCTATAGGAAATAGATGCAAAACAAAACAACAACGAAAAATTGTCACAGGGGAACATTGTTTTGAATTAAAATCTTCTTTATGTTTGCAATTAAAAATACTGAACACAGTTGATAAAATTCCACTGTCCTGAGCAGAGTCCATTGAACTCAATAGCAGTCTTCCAGTGATCTTGGCACAGGCTCAGATGAAACTAAGTCTGTGAAATTATAGGAAAGCAGCTTTCTCCTTAGTAAAGGATTGACCAGAATCTTGTACAGAAAAAAGCCCTAAACACAGTATTTTTTGTCACAAACATCACAGCTATAATAAACATGTATATCTACTCAATAACTAGTTTCACAGGAGGAAGATAAAAGACAGGTCTTTCTGATCTTTGTATCTATCAGTTCATCTGCATTCTCTCTACTGAAACAAAATTGTTCTTTTCTGTATATGACCTGAGGAAGAATGTTTTGCATTTGACATGTCTAACTTTATCCCAACTACATAGTTTGTCCAATAAAAAATATTACCCAAAGACATCCTTGCCTATTGCATAATTTCTGGACCATCACAGCAACATAACTCGTACACTACCTTAGACATTAAGAGGCATTTCAGTAGAATAAATTGTTCCTCTCTATAGTTCACTGATAAGTTGTATGACCCCTGTGCACCTGATAATTTATATCTTATACCGATTGAATTTGGTATCCTTGGAAACAAAAAGCTATAAAGACAAGTTTTAGCTATATTTTATACTGCTTAATGTTACCTGAAGATTAATTTCAAAGTTTCAAGGAATGGTCTAGATATCAGCAGCCAGATGTAGTCAAAACTTAATAGATACTAGTAAACAAAAACAGGAAAATGTGGGAGGGAGTCACTATTTGGCGATACAGGAATGAGACAGTGACCTTAGGGTTAAAGTAGTCCTTACTCCAACAGGAGTTTGTGCTTTGTGTTTTGATTTTTTTGGAAATAGTCATGTCTATAAAGAATTTAAATAGTAAATGATTGTTTAGCATGTTATCCCCCATCCAAATGACAGAGTGCACATTATTATAAATGTACTTTAAATCTGTTATCACAAGTTACAGGCCAGAGGTATAAGCAGGCTATTGATCTGAGAAAACAGTCATTTATTAAAAAACTCCAGATTCTTTTTTAACACTTTATGAAAGGTATTAAGGTTTTGGTGAAGTGGGATTTGTCATTCTTTCAGCAGCCCTGTGCTTTGGATGGAGTGCCATACCGAGCTCACTGCAAGACTACTCTGGTGTTGTGACAGGTCAATGAGGCAGAGTTCCTTCCCAACATCAGTTACTCTGTTTTTTAATGGCCCACCTTAGGTACTTTCTGCTGTGATCACTAGCTACAAAGAAAAGGGAATCTGGATCCATCTTACACACAAGCTGAAGTTTCTATTTCATTTTTCTTTGTTGATGCTCTGACTAAATCTTTCCTCTCATTCTTTTCTGTTTCCTCCTCCCCTTTCCCCCGACCTAGGGTGAATGTTCCCAGAAGTGCTACGACATCTTTGTGCTGGAGACCGTTTGCGTGGCCTGGTTCTCCTTCGAGTTCCTCCTGCGCTCTATTCAGGCAGAAAGCAAATGCGCCTTCTTGAAGACTCCCCTCAACATCATCGACATCCTGGCCATCTTGCCCTTCTACATCTCTCTCATCGTAGATGTGGTCTCCACCAAGAACAGCAGCAAGCCTGGCAGTGGGGCTGGAAACAAGTACTTGGAACGCGTGGGCCTAGTTCTGCGCTTCTTGAGGGCCTTGCGCATCCTTTACGTCATGAGGCTGGCACGGCACTCGCTGGGCCTGCAGACGCTGGGCCTCACCGTGCGCCGATGCACCCGGGAATTCGGACTCCTGCTCCTCTTCCTTTGTGTTGCCATGGCACTCTTTTCTCCGTTGGTTTATTTGGCCGAAAGAGAACTGGGAGCCAAGCAGGAGTTCACTAGTGTTCCTACCAGCTACTGGTGGGCTGTGATTTCTATGACGACTGTTGGCTATGGAGACATGGTGCCTCGTAGCATCCCAGGACAGGTGGTAGCCCTAAGCAGTATCCTGAGTGGGATTTTGCTGATGGCTTTTCCAGTCACTTCTATATTTCACACTTTTTCTCGTTCCTACACGGAGCTAAAGGAGCAGCAGCAGCGAGCTGCAAGCAGACTGTCGTACCAGCAGGAAGAAAGCCTCAAATTCCAAAATGGTGATAGTTCTCAGGAAGTGGAGACCTCATCCCCACCAGAGGTTGAAGAGGGGCCTCCACCAACACTGAAGCAGGGCCCCAAAAGGAGCTATTGAGTGCCAACAACTAAAGACTTAAAAACAGCCGCACTGAAGTAGTGGACAGGAGAGGCGTTCAGCTCTGAAACAAAAACCTATGGAACTGTGTCGATCAGGGTGTACAGTGAGGGCTGGGTGGTCCACGCTGAGTGGGCCTTTGTCCTACAGAGCTCTCTGCAGTGTCCATTCAAATGATAATGAGTAGTCTGCTCCATCTTTAGTAAAAAGCCACTTCTATTAAGCAACCGATTTTTTTGTCAGCCCCGAGAAGCAGTCGCTCAAGGTGGAGAACCACTGGATCCAATAACAAGAAAAAAAATATACTGAAAAACTGAGAATTCCCCACAAGGGCCCAGTTCAGGGAGAAGCTAGGATACCCTTTACTGTTCGTTAGCTTTCTGGTGACAACAATGGAGCCGTGTGGAAGCTGAAGAAACAGGCTGGACTTTGTGCCTGGGCATTCCCCCAAGCCTTTGTTTCCTATGCACAATGGATTCATTCTGTACAACACCTCCATGGGGTAGATGCCAAAAGTTTAAAGGGGGTAAGAAGTAGAGTGGCAGGGGGTAGGGTTAAGGGAGGGGAAGGATCCTGTCTGGGCCATCAGAATGGCAAATGTATCCTTGTTCTCTTATTCTGTAATAGAGTTTTTTTATTGCTTTGTTTTCTTATCAGGAACCACAGTCTGGGCTGCTCTCCGACAGGTCTGCCTTGTGCTTTAGCTCTCTATACATTGTTTAGTAAACCTGCATCTTCAGCACTTTGTATCCTTGCCCTGATGACAGGTGTATACATGGACAGCCTTGCTATCAGTGGTGTTGAATGTCACCTTGCTTTCCTTTGTTCCTCTGAATGTAACAAACATCAGACAAATGTTTTCACTTTCTCTTTGTTGTTCCACCGTCCTCTCACTCCTCATGTTTTAAAGACTGTTTAATATTGCAACAGAACTCAAAGGCACCAGCCCAGGAAGCAGAGGGTCAGGGTGGAGGTGGGAAAGCAGTAGTAGCTGCGGGGACTTCATACCTGGTGCTGTGTCTTGACTGTAGCTGTGCACAAAAGGATTGATCTAAAGGCACTGAAGGCACTAGGAGTCTTTCCATAAACTTCAGTGGACCCTCAATCAAGCCTCAAAAACAAGAGTTATTACACCCTATGCAACAGCAACCAATCCTTTTTTGGCAACCTGCCCAAAGTTAAGTCAATCCAAAATGCTGAGAGAATGCCTCTCTGATGTAGTCAGCCACTGCCCTCACCCAGGGTTGCTGAATCTTGTCATCTCTGAGATGTAGGAGCAGTGGTAAATTTGGCAGCACCTACTCCCCCCCCCCCCCCTCCCAAATCCCGGCCCCCCCCCCCCCCCCCCCCACA